TAGATGGCCGGGCCCTAACATGCGTAATTAATGTGCGAAATATTCTATGCAGAATTTACGAGTGAGCAATAGTTCCACATGATTAACACTAAGTATTCTCATTTTACCTTCTGTAGAAAATCTCTATACTTTTTCTAACTATAGCCTGAACAAGCAAACCAACTATCTTCTCTAAGAGCGAATGTGATTTTTGCATGCGTCTCAACTAAACCTTCTAGGCTCACAAATGATGTCGTATTTGCATAATGAAAAAGAAAAGGAACACGAGAGAAATTTCAGCAAAATCCAAATTTTTAATACCAAGCTTTTGGGCTATACTAAATGGATACATGAAATTTACCACGATCCATCCACTGTCCTTTTTGTAATCCACATTCCTCCGTTTACAGTAGAGTGTCATAAAGGATTCCAATTCAGGAACAGACTTTTTATTATCGAGTAACTTAGCCAACTTTCTACAGTCTGAAAACCATAATATTAATCGTTGCAGCAATTAGAGAACCATAGAAAAATTTATAGCTAATCCTATGCATAAACAGCAAAACTCCTAAGCGAAGCTGTATGTAACATTAGAACTGTTGACGAAATCGTCAAAGGATTGCATAACAAATGTGAATCTTGAGTGGCAAACCTACCAAAGGTTGATTAGTTCACATGCAGTAATAACACGATGAAAAACTTCATAAAAGAGGATTCGATTATAAAAAATTGCTGTTTATTCAAAAGCGATAAATAACAGCATGTTAATTTCCTTACTCTTCAACAAAAAAAAAGAAACCAACCATTCCTAAGGCCAACTTGATTATTCAAATTGTACAGCTGATCCCAATCTTCAAGAGGATTTGGGCGACTTTGAACTCCAAGAAGGCGCTGAAAATTGAATTGAGAAAATAAAGAATCAAGTAAGAGGAATTTTATCATAAAATTACATCACAAGAAGTAAATTTACCACCCAGAGCATCCTCTTGCCATCAACGTCACTTACAAGTGACGTAACACTAGAATTTGACACTAAATCCTTATTACATTCTGTGGGCAGGGATGAGATCGAAATATCGCTCTCTTTTACCCTATAACATTGAGTAGTCATTTGCTGAACATTCAAAAAAGGCCACAAAAGATTGCGAGAGGTCAAATTATGTAGATTATGAACGTTTATGACACTCACCAGTCGTCGTCAATAGTACTTGTGCTTTCGCTGTTGACGTCATCTCCCATAGTGTATGTACAGACTGAAATACTTTGATATATCGTGACATCAATAAAGGATTGGCGAAATAAAAGACACTACAATGAGAGGTTGCGTAACATGAGCATCAGACTTAAGAAAACGACTATATAAGAGAAATCACACTAAAAAGCCTGGATCGAGAAATGATGTATTACTTGCGCACTGATGAAAACGCATGCAGACTAGCTGACGGGGGTTTTGGGAAAAACGTGTAGAAACATGAAAGCAAGGCCAATGATTGCCTTCAGAATCGAATCAACGAAATAAATCTTTTTTTAAAACGATGTAAACTTGCAATCTGTTCAGTACGACTAACAATAGATGCTGTACCAGTCATAGATTAAATGAAGTTTTGAGGAATATCAAACAGATATATCGTTGTTGGCACATCCTAACAATCAAGCCAAAAAATATGGGAAAAATATGAAGTAATAAAATACTTTAACTTACTAGGTGCGCCTACAGAGACATAATAGGGACTCCTAACTTTGATGAAATCTGCTCTTCACTTCGTCATCCGTAATAAGCATATTGTACAAAATTCGGTGCGCATTTCAGAGGACCCATTAAAATTTCAACAGGAACTCGGCTTCGAGACTCAGAGGTTTGGACTTCGAGTTCGGAAAATCTTGTAAAGTAACTCACAAAAATAAGGAACGGATAGATCAATCCGAGCGTGTAATGAACGAAAGGAAGAAAACACCTACTACTCCAGTTATATGCAGATCCGCGCATCAAAAATGAATAAGTTGAAGACAATCAGATTTCAGAATAAGCAGTTCATTAAAG